ACCAATGAAATATATGAAAATGTTAACAAATAAATCGATTAAAAATTAAATCAATCTGGTTTTATAACAATTGCTATACAAATTTACTTTTATAGTTATTATTAACATACAATTATCTTATAGAATTTCATAATTCCTGTCATAATTAGAAATCTATAAGTTACTGTAAATTTTCAGGCACTTGTATAAAAGTATTTGAAATTTCTATTCACTGTAATCATTAAGCACCGTTTTATTTTTTATTATAAACAGCAATCATATAGACATAGTCCTTATATTCCATCATATACGCTTGCCAGAAATCTCTATTTTCAAGTATATCACATTATATACAAATGCATAAGATCCTCTCTTCAGCGTGCCTACTAATGGCCCTGTAATAAAACTAGTTAATTTCGCGCCTGACCAACTGGCTAGCCATTTGAAGTTTTCCGGTTTTCTTCATGTGTCTAACAATTGAATTGGGGACCTGTTTCTCACGTAGGATCCTACTGAGAGCGCCTCCTTTGCAGATTTCGTTTCTTTTGCTTCTTCTGCTTTATTCAATTTAATCCGAGATATATAGACACGTTCCTTAAATTTTCTCTTGTAAATGTCACATTCACAATGTAATATGCCACCAATTCTGTCTTATGTTCCTTAACTGTACGTTTTAATTTTCTATCTGTTTCAGCAATGTATAGAGGAGAGGAAGGTATTATGGAATAGTCGGGAAATATGGAATACCGAGGTTTTGGCTCTGTTTGTTGCTGCTATTACGTGGGAATACTATGAAGTACTCAAGAAAGCCTCCCACGATGCAATGCAGTGAGAGTTGACCACCTGTTGTCATACCACTCGCTACAAAACAAAGTGTGTTTTGTGATTTTCAAGAGTTTTTGCAGGCAAGTTTTCAAACATTTTATTGTACTAGTACACATGTGACTTGAACATTGACGTTAAGCATAATGTATACTAAAAGAATTGTAGTTTAGCTGACAATGTTTTGTCCATCAGTTTAAAGGTTCATTTTCCAAGAAGGCGTGTCGGGTATTGTGGAATACTAGGATAAATGGATAAACTGAAAGAAAAGGACAAAAAGAAGGAACCAGAAGCTTCAAAACAACAAAAGAAATCGAACATTCAAAGACCACCTGTTAAGAAATTAAACTTAGCCTTCTAGACCTAAACCTACTAGAGATGACTCTAGCGTTAGCAGCGGTGAATCGTTCCATTCTGATGTATCATCTATAATGAACTTCATGCCATCAACTAAAGAACCAGAAAACGAAGACGCTGAATGTAGCTTCTGCAACGGAAAATTCTCCGAAGATGAGTCAGGGAAAATTTGGATTCAGTGCTTCAGCTGTTCTCTGTGGACTCACCTTGATGGTACCGGAGCAGAGAAAGAAAAATATATCTGTGCCTTTTGTAAATAGACTCGAAGCAGGAATGACATGCACATAATCTTAAAAGTATGGTTTTTGTAGTTAAAAATAACTATTTTTTATAAAGTCTAATTAGTTTTTCAATGGTTTAAACTACCTATTCCATATTACCCTCCATTTGTGACTTTTTTAAATAAACTTTTTTTATAACAACAAAATAAATAGTATTTTTTACAAGTGACAGTTCACTACAATTAGTTATAGTACGTATTCGTGATGATTTTGGGATTTTTATTCAAAAACCAGTAAAGTTATTTTTACAAATATAAAAGGTATTCCACAATACCCTCCTCTCCTCTACTTTTTATATTCAAAAGTATACACGATTATAGGCTATATACAATACCTGCTTTTTTTAATTTACTTACATCAAACTTTTCTGTGTTTACTGTCTATTTGAAACTTTCTTAAGAAACAGACTTAAATTATTGAATAAATTTATTAAAAACATTTTTTTTAATTTCCATTTTTTGTTGTCGTTCTACTGCATATCTATTTATATTCCTTAATAAACATATTCTGTAATACATCATTAGGTACATATCGATGCTAATTAATAACTTTAAATACGTCGCATTTTTTTCATATTTCAAAAAGTCAATATTATCACCACCACTATTAATACTTAAATTTAAAAAGTTTATACATTCTAATTCAAAACTTAAATTAGGACACCGATATACAACTTATAGATTTATTATTCCGTTATTAATTGCTAATTAACACTCAAACAGGAGCATCTATACCACAAAAATATTGCCAGGGGACACCTCGCTTTGTCTTATTCCGTCAATTCAACCAAACACTAAAAATAATTAATTATTTAATTTATAAAATAATTGCATAATAGTAATTATATTTTTAATTAAGCACTCTAAGAATATAAATCATTAATCTTAAATGTTTTTCAGGCGTTTCCATTGATATAAGTATCCGCCAGTTTCACGTTTAAGATATTTATAATGTAGATTCATTGGAAGAAGACTTAAGATTTTTCAAACTAAAAACATAGGAATTATTAAATAAAGAATTTGGTATTTGAAGGTATTTACTTAATCCTCAAATAAGTCATTGAAAGTCGTACACATCAGTGAGGCATCTATCCTTTTAATAAATATGAATGAAGTGTTTTTTCTCTCATATTGGGAAAAAGAAAAGAATTACGTACATAAAAAGAATAAGCAACAACTATTGTAAACATAATAAAAGCTACTGTTCTGTTCCATGGAACGATATAGAGATAATGCAATTTGTTGTAAATTAACAAAATTACATTTCATAATATAAACTAAAATGAAACCAATGGTTTAAAAAGATCAAAGAGATTCTTTTATTATGTAACGAGTTAAATATTTATAATTTTAAATCATTTAAATTTAATTTATTTATTACTTTTTATAAATTGTCAAAACTAGAACCGCATTAATTAATTAATTAATTAATTAATAAAAAAACTTTTGTATTATAAAGTATAATTGTATTATGTATTAAAAATTACGCATGTCAATAGTATAAGAAGAGGAAAAAGCTTTTGCTAATTAAATACAGTCAAACCAGTCAGTGAACAATGGTCACTAACTGGTTTGATTGTGGTTTGAAAACATAAAAAATGGTCGTCGTTTAGAAATTATTTTGTATTCATTTTTTTTTTATTAAAAGTAATAGTTCTTGAAAAATTGCCACTGTTTAGAGGTGAGAACTGTCTGTAAATTATGTAACGCAGATATGAATGGATAGATATGCAGGCAATCGCTAGGATGCTTTACATAGAGGTGCAGTTGTTTACAAAAACATTATGTAACACTAGGAGCAGAATGGTAAACGGGGTCATTGTTACCCAGTAACAAAATGATCCATTTTTGTTTCCGAAGTATTGCATACTGCTTATACGTATGATCAATAAATTATTATAATGTTTGGTACTCTGTGCCATGAATTACTAAATTAATACAATTAAAGTGGATCGAGAATATGCGTTATTTTGGAAGTGATCATAAGCGACTGAGTTACGAAGCGTTTACGGGGATGGAATGGTAGGGTAAGACATAATAGGAAACTTTTTAAATTGCATTTATTTATATTATGTCTGAATTGAAACATTTACAAAATAATAAATAATAGTAATTTTAAAAAATTATGTATTTGGAGCATATATTTATAACCTATATCTAATATTCCTATTTAAGCTTTAAAGAATTTATTATAAACAAAGATAAGACAATATTTATTACAAAGCTGTCAATCAACATGCCATAAAAATTCTGTCTCTCCATACATCATGTAAGTATTATGTACTGAAGTACTTTTTGATCTCCATCAATCTGTTAAAATTTAAGCAGTTCTTTTTCTTCTTATTATAATTTCATTTCGTGAGACATTGAAATTGTTTTATATTTTTCCCCACCAAATCAGACTTATACGAGCAATTATTTATTGTTACATCGTCACAATGCCGGGCTGCAATTTCTAATGATAGTTTTAATTTATTTAATTTAAAATATTTGCTCTCCATCTCAAATTAATACTAGACTTCCTCTGTACAAAATACTTTTCCTTTAATAATAGTGTCGTCCTGGTCATCTATCTAACACCTTTTACAGGAAAATTTTCGAATTGAAATAATGTTACTTTCGATCTAGATCAAACGTTACAATACAGTTAATCGGGGTCTCCTGCTCCTTTTCTTTCCACATCTGGTCTCTGATGTCTTCTATCTAACCATATTTTCGAGATTAAGAAAAGACAGACAGACAGCCAGTGAGAATTTATGTGTATATATATATATATATATATATAATTATAAATATATATAGGTACAAGTAAAAGTAGTCTGTAGATAATATTTATATTTCATATACTGTACTATATACAATATATATAGCCTATATGTTTGACATGTCTACATAATTTATATTTATACTTATTTTAAAAATAAGAACATATCAATCACTAAAAGCTTTCTCTCTCTCTCTTTTATTTATTTATTTAGTAAATCTGTATTTTATTATATAAACTAATTAGTTAATCTATACAGATGTAGTTACAAAATTATTTACGAGATTACATTATATAAAATCTATATAAATGTTATTTTTAGAAACAGAAATTTTTAGTTTAATTATTTTTTGTTAAAAATTTACATTAAAAGATTATCCGAATATTTAATAATTATTCAAAAATAAAAATATTTTATAATAAGTTAGCAATTTAATAAACAATATAAACAATCCAATTTAATACTATTTTTTAATGATATTTCAAAAAATTATTTAGATTTTTTTAAATTAAAAATCGTAAAGTTATTTATAAATTTTTAAAAATTTTCCATTTTAAATAACAAATTATAATAATTAGCAATAACATTGATTTACATAACTGTTTATATAGGCGTATGTAAAATTAGCTTGTAGAATTTTAAAATAAGTATTTTATAAAAAAAATATAATTCGTGTTTACGGTATAAAACAATTTTAACCAATAGGAAACGATCACGTGGTAGTAATACTCTGTTATTGGATGCCGGAGAAGATATAAACGGGTGAAAGAGTGAAAAACAGAACAGAAAGCAGCGAAGTTTGGTCGTTGATAGAAATGTCGATCGAAACTAACCACAAGCAAAATGAAATCGGATAATCGACAATACACGATTAGCAAAATAACAACTTGTTTCATTCTATTGAGTAACATTTTAAACTGTGTAACAGAAGAATGGGCCATAAATAATATTAACTCTAGCATAACTTGGCCAGTGAAGAAGATAGCGGAAATTGAAGGAGATATAATATTAGGGGGACTGATGATGGTTCACGAAAGAGAAGATTTACTTACTTGTGGACCTATTATGCCACAGGGAGGTATTCAAGCTTTAGAGTGTATGCTATATACAATCGATTGGGTTAACAGTCAGAAAGACTTTCTACCTAATATTACTCTCGGTGCTTACGTTCTGGACGACTGTGATAAAGATACTTATGGATTGGAACAAGCTGTAGACTTCATTAAAGGTAAGGAAAAATACTTTTTTAAAATAATATTTATTTAAAAGAAAACCGTAAAAAATGCAACAAATTTTAAGTTTATATCTTTCGTCAAATTATCAAATTTACAACGAATTATTGTAAAAGATTTCAAACAGGTAAAAAGTTCATAATTATTTAATATATTAAATGTAATCATTAAAAAGTTTATTTTAAAAAATAATTTAGAAAGTAATTA